TCTCTCTCTCTCTCTCTCTCTCTCTCTCTCTCTCTCTCTCTCTCTCTCTCTCTCTCTCTCTCTCTCTCTCTCTCTCTCTTCGTCGCTGCCTTCTGTGCAGGTTCCCGGTACCCTCCTTCAACGGCGCAGCTATGGCGGACCCTCCTCCTACGTTGGCGCAGCTACAGGTATGGCGCCCAGACAGTGACGGCGCGTGGAATAACGAGAACCAGCTCCGATACCAATGCAATCAGACTCGCTTTCTTCTTCACTTTGAATACATGCAAAGAGATGACAACTCACACTGGTGCTGTGCGCCCACACAAAGCTCAGAGATAATCAAGCCGAGAACACAGAACCGTTACAAACTTGCTTCCATCTGGCTATGCCGCCTGAGCGCTCACACACCTCCTTCGTTCRTCACTGTGTCCGCAGACTGTTCACACGTACTCGTCTCTGGATCACCCTGAATATCCCACGCACATACACTCTGCCACTCACACACACACACCGAACTCTGCCTCTAAGCTACAGCGGCTATGGCCGCCTAACCCCTACTAGCTATGGATACTCTATCTTCCCTCGGCCCACTTCGTCCTCGGGCATCTGCAAACCACCTCGCACAAGACGCTAGGGCAGAGCTTCCGCATGGCTCACGCAGGAATGAATGAATGGCTGGACGCTGCCTCTTGATTTATACTTCTGTAAGTCGCTGGTCTGCTCTTTTCCACCGGGCCCACACTGCACACAGTCCCTCATGGTACTTGCTGACTGTACGAAGTGAGACTGGGACTGGGTACTGTTGACTAAGCGAAGTTGGACTCACCACTTGCCCACTTGCCTCTGGTCTGCTGTGAATAACGTGAGAAAAACTTGGAAGGCCACTTCCGGACCTTGCAGAAGTCTGTGGACTTGGCTTTTCGAGACTGTAGCAGCTACGACCTTGACCTTTCAGGACTGTAGCAGCTACGACCTTGACCTTTCAGAATTGCTACAGCTACGGCCTCTACACAACTATGACCCCTAGCCGACAGATCTACAGATCGAACCCCTACAGCTACACAGACCTACGACAAGCAACAGTCAACTACTAAAACACAGGTCACGGGTTCAAAAATTCACAGGGTCGACTTGATACTGTACAAAGGTAAGGTAGGGTAAGGTGAGGTCTGGGGATCGAGCCCTGGGATCCGCATCTGCGTCTGCAAAAGGTGAAAACCGTTTCAAAGTCAATGATTGATACAAAAAGAACTCACGCACGCTCCTCCCCATTATGGTTGGGAGGCCTGAGTGGACGGCATTGATTACTTCCTTTGGGAAGGATGTACCACCCATCACCCCTGCCTATCATTTTTATTTTCGTATTGAAGAGTTGGGGGAGTAATTGGAGGTTGGAGATGGTGACGTTATGAAGGGAGATTGACATTGGTCTTTGCTAGTGTTCATCTTCTCTTCTTCTTCTTCCTTTGTCTGTTTCTCTTTCCCAGTTCTTTCATTTCAGTTGCAATTGAACAGCATTGCCTTTTCTCGAGTTGTTGCACAGCAAGATAGCCAGGATCGTAACAGCTGTGACAAATTAGTTTCCCATACTTCCTGCCGCTCTTGTCGGGGGTTTGGACCGGCAGTCTGCTATGCAGGGGTATCGCTGACTCTGGGCAACGTGGTGAGTCCTTATCCACCAGTCAAATGCATCCTGGGCAGACTATCGGGGTTCAACCTCCTGATGAATCTGTGAAAGTCGAACAAAACAGTCTGGCACAGTCATGCTTTTTTCCTTTTCTTTTCTTATTGCAAGGAACAAGCCCTCAAGGGGCCCTATCAGACATCACATGATCTGGGCTAAGGCCCCCAGCAAGCCAAGTGCCCGCCCTAAGTGAAGGCGGGCCTGAATATTCGTCAGAGGCAAAATCCGACATTTCCATAAGTGGGTATTCAGGCTCTCGCAGCACGCCAGTTGGTTGGGTAGACGCGTGACCCTCACAAAGCTGCGTCATACAGTTGGCCCAGGCCTGGAGAGTTGCGCCTGGGCACATACACACAAAGCAGGGCCGATACATTGGGAAGCAGGCCATCGGCCTTTGCAAAAGCAGTACTGCCAACGCACCTGCCTGGGAGCCATGCACAGATGCAGCAAGCAGCCCAAGTCCGGAAACTCAGGCCGTGCTTAACTGAAAAGGGCCCAGGCCCTCAACTGTAGTCTCGGGCCTGGGCGCAGGGTCTGAGGCCCAACCGGAAGCTACTGGAAGCTTCCAGCCAGACCACACGCAGCATCCAGGAGGCTGCCACTTCCATAAAAGAAGTGAGGCAGCCCAGGCCAGGCATGCTGGCCAGTGCTGGCAATGCGGAAGTGCTGCTGCACTCTCGCTTGATGCTGCGCCTGCCAAAGGCGCTGACGGGGCGCGAGGTGGTGGAGGGGTTCAGGCAGCCATAGCCGAGCTGCTGGGCGCCAGGGGATACAGCGGGCGATCTAGTGGTCTTCAGGGAAGGAGGCGAGTGTGGGGTCATCAAGGTCTAATTGAGGGTGACAAGATACGTACCCGGTACATGAAGAGAGGCCGGCGATGGTGTTGACAGTCATGTACATTGGTCTTCGAGAGTTGAAGTGAGCCTGTTGCGTGAATCAGCTGTAGGTAGGGTAGTCGGGTAGACTAGCCAGACAGAGAGGAGCGACTTTGGATACTGTGTTGGTGTGGCCTACGGGCTTGAACATTGGCTCATTACTTCATTGCATTGCTCTATATGCATGGATACTCGGTGCATTTTGTACTCTCTGCTTGGATACGACTACCTTGACATCTGTGTGATTTCGCAACTTAGCTTCCTGTATATCGTTCACACTCATATTCCTTGCATTCTGGAGCTGTGTATATAGCGAACATGACGACATACATAGGAAGGTGAGCAGCATATGTTGTAGCAGAGATGGTGGTAGCACACCTGCTCACACTCCCTTCGTGAGAAGCAGTAGATTATCCCAGACTCCTTCCCAGGACTGATTTCTTGGATAAGATTTGCAATGTCATCCATCATTGCATTTGCATTCGATTTCTTCTCCCGGACCTGAATAAGAGCAAGAAGGTTATGCACACAGTTACAGGTGATCTGTATGGCAAACAAAATCTTGTACACGACGACACGTTGAGCAAACAAGAAAGAGAAATGTTTCAGAAAGCATTGATGGGAAAATTGTAAATGCAAAATTACAGATGTATCATGTATAGAAAAAAACAAGCCGTTGCCCACCACAGCTTCACTTGTGGCACAAAGGAGAGGTGAGAGGAGCCAGAAGGGGAAGTGGAGTTTCTCTCTGTTAGGGTGTGCATCCTGCTTTGTGTTCTTCTCTTCCATCCGCCCTCCGAGGGCGACTTAATACCGTGTACAGCTGTCACAGTGAGCCCGCTTGTATGTATAATGTTAATCAACAGCAGCCAAGTACTGTCATGCAGACCGGACAGGTATGTATTTGCACTTCAACACCGCTGCACCCTCGGCATGACAAGTATGTATTTGCACTTCAACACCCGCTGCACCCTCTGTTTGAATACAACAGTGCACACCAACGGCGGAGAATGACAAACCGTGCCACACACAAAAGGGGAGTGTCACGAAAAACAAACCACGCGCCGGAGTTTGAAAAGACAAAGGTTCAAACGAAACAAGACAAAGCGACACAAAAACGAGCTTTGAAACTACCACGGCCCAAACGAGAAAAAGGGAACCCACTCCCCGACACTATTCAGTGGGGCTCACACCCTCAGCCGGGCCGTTTTTCTCCGTCCCACGGGACAGCGTTACATGAAACTACCTTTTGAAGCTTTTCCCGTTATTATAGAGCGTCACGAACAACAAATCACGCGCCAGAGTTTAGAAAGACAAAGGTTCAAAT